TAGCCACTGGCCAGTGCATCCCCAACGGAATTAGGCCCCTGTCTCTCTGGCTTCTCGGCTGTCTCATGCCAGCTCCTTCTCACCTAGGACTTCCTACCTCGTCATCCTTCATCTCCAAATTGTGGAAGCCAGGGTCGGCAAATGTCTCTCCTCTATTTCTCACCGTAAGAGTCCATCCTAGTCACCCTAAGAGTCCACCCTAAGAGTCACAGTTCCCATGGTCTGGCAGCTCCCTGCCACTATGTCCCAACCATGCCACTTGGCTCTCACATGCCAGCCATCAGACATCTCTGCACTGTTCACTCTGCAGGATCCAGATGAGAAGATTCAGTTTTGGCCTGCCCTTGAGACTCTTACCATCTACCTGGAGAGATGAGACCAACCTTCCCAAAACAACAAGAGAAAAATACCAGGGGTTTTCAAAAGGTTCATGGAAAACGTGTATTATGAAAGGACTATGTATGGATTTAAATATTTTTGCAACAAAATCAACTTGTATTTTAATTCCACTTTTCCCACAAACTTTCTGAAGTCCCCTCATATAAGAAGGCAAGACTTAAGGGCTAAAGAGTATCAAGTTAAAGTGCTGAGAACACTTTAAAAAAATCTTGGGCAGCCTGTAGCCTGGTAATTAAGGGAACTGGACCTCACGGGGCTGCTCATGGTTCAAATCCTGGCCCCGGTGGCTTGAAAAACATGCCAGGTACATGTGTGTGGCCCATATCCGAAAAGGATGGAGAAATGGAGGAGAAGGGATTGCAGCAAGACTGTGCTCACCAGGGTGTGCTTTCTCCCTCTTCTTCTTCTCTCTCTCTGGCAAATGCTCTGGCAATTAAAATAATTTTTAAAACATCTTAATATTTAGTCGATACCCTGGAATCTTTTCTTCCAGGCCTATGTCGAAAAATAGCTCTGTGGGCCATTTTAAAGTACTCGAATGTACTATAAATCACAACCATGTAATTTAGCTTTCTCTTTGTAATCCTTGGGCCTTTCTTAGATACTGTAATTGCTCAATGATAGAACACAGTACCTTGATTAATAAATAATAGTGTTGCAGACTGAGAGAGTGGATGGCAGGCTGGGGAGGAAGGAAGGTTCTGGCACCTCAGTGAGGGTTTGGCTACGGAACCAGGTAAGCATGGACACACCTCTGGGCCTGGCTGGGGACGTGGGTGACCTTCACACCCAGTGCACTTTTTGTGGCTGAGCCTCAGGTTGTGACCATCTGAGTCCCCCGCTATCCTGTGGAAGAGAATTGCTAAGCAAGGTGAGGCCCTCCCGGGGGCTGTGAGGTTGAGGGCAAAGGGGGGGCGGGTGCTGTCTCCATGGCTCACTTCTCTCCCTCCTCCCACCTGCGAGGTGTAGGAGACACACAAGGTTTGTCTGGGGGGAAGTGGTTCATTCTGGAAGCCTCCTCCACCTCCACTAAGCAATCTTCACTCTTCAGGGGGGCTATGTTGTCCCTGTAGACAAAAGCAAACACCTTTTTTGAAGCAGAAAGTCCCCCAATGAGAAGACTGGCATGGGCACAGAATCCAAGGAATTCATCACGGTTCCTCTGTGGGAGGAGGCTCGGATCAGCGGGCCCTGGCCAGTCCTGTGACGTCTGTGGCCCTAACTGCCTTCTCGTAATGATCACACTCACCCCTGTACTTTCTAAACCACTTCTCCCTCCAGGAACAGTGATCTGCCCACAGGGTGCCAGGTGGCTCTTCTTGGCTTCTGAGGGCTGGCGTGGACCTCTTTGGTGATGATGACCATGAAGACACCAGCCCAAGCTCACTGGTGCAGCCAGGGAAGATGGAGACCTTGTTCCACAGGTCCCCCTCTGCAGGTTCAGATCCGGCTTCAAGGCAGAGTTTCACTGGCCCTTTCCTGACTCCCAAGCCTATAAGCCTTTTCCCTTTCCTGAGACTTCCCATGGCACTTTGACCCACCTCTATGGTCATACACTTTGACCTTGTCTCCCAATCAGTAGGGGGCATGTCTCAGCCCCATCCACATAACCCTGGGGCCACATGCTGGCACACGACGGTGAATGATACCTCCGGAAGAGGCTGTGCAGGCTTGCAGCCCTGGCTCTGTGTTCCCCTTCTTCACGCCTCCTATAAGGATCTACTGCAGGCAGAAGGGACATGAGGCCTATCTCCAGCATGGTGCTCTGGACTCAAACACCCCAAAACATTGTAGGAAGGATTTTTTAAAAAGAGGGCTTTGTCTTAGGGTATGTGCACTTGCCAGAGAAAGAAAGAGACAGATAGAAAAAGAGAAAGTGAGAAGTCACCCCCAAGGGAGATGGACATGCTATAATCCCTCATCCTCCATCTCCTCCCAGGATCCTAGGCACACATGCACACATACCGAGCATGATTTTCAAGTCACTAGGTCTGGGACTCGAACCACAGTCAGCCATGTGGGAGTTCAGTGATGTAACCACTACGCCATCTGCTGGCCCCTAGGAAGGCATTTGTAGCTCTTCTCTGTTCCCTTTCAGACCTTCACATTATACTCATCACATTAATTTCTGCTGCTGCTACACTGGGCCCAACTAGAGCAGCCGTACTGCAAGGCATGCACTGACCTCGGGGGGAAGTGGGCCTTGAACTTGGTCTGGAACATCCTGGCCAGGATGACGAGCAGCAGCACCAGCAGCACGCTGGTCGCTGTGAACGCCACGATCTTCCACGTGGTCAGTAGGGTCTCGTGGGTGCTGGGCCACGTTTGCTCTGCCACAGAGAGAGAACAAAGCTGTGTGTGAGGCCTTTGGACCAGACGGGTACTTAGATGCCTGTGTGCTCATTTGCTGGCTATGTCTGGCACGTGGGACACTTGTGCTGCCTCCTGGCCCCGCTGGGCTCACCTGAAGGTACTAAGCATCTTGCGTCATCCATGTAAATTGCATTAGGATCCTCACTACCCTGAAAACCCTTGTCTCCTGTGTGGGCTCTGCTGTGTTAAAGACAGACCCACATGTTCACATTCTAGACCCACAGTAAGAACCTGGCACCAATCCAAAAATGTACCTGCTTCATGGGCAGAGAACGAAGGGGCGGGTGTTGTTCTGAAAGGGACCGGGGGTTGAGGGAGCAGGGCCAGGAAGCTGGGCTGAAGCCCTTGGTATATTCTGGGACATATGGCTGGTTGGGGTGGACAGTGGGGTGAAGTGAGGAGCACAGGACAACAGGGACAGGCCTGGCCTGTGGCCCTCAGTTTCTGACACCTCTGGTTGCCGACTGTCCATCAGGTAAGCATAGCCAGAGTAGGCCCTCCTACTGGCACAGACCTTGCTGCCTCTCGGACTCCTCCCTCCCTTGATGAAGCCTTCTCCGTCCGCCCTTGTCACACTCAGTGGTGCCTGCAGCCCCTCTCTGTGCTTCCACCCGACTGGCTCACAGTACCAGCTGTGGGCCGCCAGATGCCTGATGGTAAGTGTTTCCCCCACATAGTGTGCCCACTGAAAAAGTACACAGTTGCCATCTCTGCTTAGGGCAGTCACGGTGGTCACAGTCTGGAAAATGCTAGAGAGACTGGACAGGACGGGGAGCACAGGGGACAGCGGATATGTGCTGGAATCCAGGCCTCCATTGTGTGGTCACTACCCCAGTGTGCAGAGATCAGGGCCAGGCTCGTTTGCAAGTGCCTTGTTATTAACTGCGAAGCACTGAAGCTTGCAAATGGTCTACAGTTTTCTAAGTGAGAGCAGCTCTTACCCATGATAGTATCATTTGTATTCTGATGTGTGTCCTTGAGTGGAAGAGAAAGGAGGAGTTATGACTCACTGAGGCTCCGGGCAATGTGCAGAATTCTGGTCACACCCATGAGAGAAACAGGGAGAAACAGGACATAGAGGCTGGGGGCCCTTCCAAAGATGCTGAGGGCCCAGGGACCTTGTTCAGCATTTTAACCAGGGACTGTCAAGTTAGTACTCCTGACCCTCTGAGAGGGGCCTAGAATCATCTAGCACAGAGTCCCACACCAGCCCTGGAGAGCCATGAATGTTTCTACGCATCCCGAATTTTTGTTCGTTTGTTTGCTGTTTTGTTTTTGCCACAGGGCATGTGTACTCATCAGAGAGAAACAGAGAGAGGGAAGGTGAGAAATCACCCTCCCACCAGGGATGGCCACACCGCAATCCCTACTTCTCCATTCTGCTCTTGGGATTTGGGACATGCATGCACACGCGTCTGATGTGATATTTAATCCACTGGGTCTGGGATTCAAACCAGGTGGGAGTCCTTAACCACCACACCACCTGCTGGCCCCTCTGTGCATCAGGTTTTTGAGGTTGGGTGTGGGAGGGGCACGCAGCCCAGTACATAGCCAGCGTCGGCCCTGTGCAGACTGTGCAAGGAGAGGTGTCTCCTCCAAGGTCCAGGCCATTGGTCTTACCTGATTTGATGCAGTAGACTTGATAGGAAGGAAACCACTCTCCGTACTGGCAGGTGATGTACTTGTAGTCACTGGTGAGGCTGTAGCCAGGATCGCAGTAAAACTCCACCACGGTCCCGTGGTTGTAGCGCTCACAAGGCCGCGGGTGGCAGATGAAATCTCCGTGACTCACCATGGGAGGTAGTGGACAAACTTGGGCAGTTGGGGAGAATAAGAGTTTCAGAACCACATGCTTATCTGTTGGAAGCCCTTCGGGTGCAGACTGGTCTAGGAGAACTCAGCCACTAGATGACGTGTTTGCGTGCTAACTGCCAGACTACTGAGTTGTACTGGAGAGGGTTCCTTCTTTTGTATTGTCATGTAAGGTTCAACGGGAGCCTGAAAGAATATTCCGAGCATGTGTGGCTCTCACTTGGCATTTAAAGAACGTTGTAAAAGAGAGGTTCGTTTTTATAATGCAAAGAATATGCCTATTTCATAGATAGTATTAAGCTACTCTATTAATAATGCATGCTATTATGTGCCAGACAACCTGGTAAATAAAATTAAGATATTTATGGACACAGTCTTTACCGAATGGCACAGCTATCCCAAGCCTGTTTCTATGACCATTGTAGTAATCGGGGACTATTCAAATCATGGGGCAGTGCCCCCAATTTGACCCCCCAATTCCCTGCTGGGGTTTGGCCAATGACAAACATGGAGCCATTCTCCCAGGTCTGCTTGCAGATCAAGGTCACAGCCTCCTGCTCACAAGTACAGTGGTACAACGGGACCAGAGGGGATGAGAGTTAGGGGTCTTGGGTTTTAGGCTTGGTTCTATTA